AGCCGGTGTCCATTCGTCCTTACGCCACTTATCTCCCCCCTCCCCCTCCGCGGACAGTTGGTTAACGTTGGCGACGAGGTGCTCATCTTCTACAACGACAAGGCGTCGCGCGCGCTGCTGCTGGAGCTGATGCGTTCGGAGCGCGAGCGCATGGACGAGGCTTCGCCGCTGCGCTATCACATGGAGCTGGTCAACCTGCTCTCCAACTGCACGGAGGGCAAGAACGCCAGCACCGAGATCCAGTGTCACAGCCTGCTGCCGCTCGACGACATCGTGGCCGTGGTGCAGAACCGCGACTGCATCCCCGAGGTCAGCGGCCTGCAGCGACGGTCAGGGTCAGGGTCAGGACCGGGGTCGGAGCCAGGGTCAGAGCCAGAGTCAGGGTCAGGACTAGGACTGCGGTCAGGGCTAGGGCCAGGACTAGGACTAGGGTCAGGACCAGGACAAGGACTAGGGTCAGGGTCAAGACCATATGGGCGCGATATGACCAACGTAGTCGATGCGCCCCAAAGCCCAAATCATCATCATTAGGGTCAGGACAGGATCAGGGTCAGGACCAGGACCAGGACCAGGACCAGGACCAGGGTCGGGTCAGGAGGCGGGGTCGGCGGGGTGTGGTTTAGATATATCAAACGCACTTTTGCTGAGCGTCGGCGCTCTCGACGGCGTTGGACCGGGCAGGCTGACTGGAAGCCCGACAATTGCGGAAGCGGCGGCGCTTTTGCGAAGTCGAGTAGAATGGCCTCCGTGGTGTGCTCACGGAAGACATAATCATCTAGCAAATCGTACGCACGTCTTCTTCAGTGGTGCCCTTCCGTGACCTAATGCCGTCTTCGCGCGAACGAAGCACGCTCAAATGACAAATGTTAACCAGGCTCTCCACGGACAACGGGGTGGCAGCTCTTGGGTTCCGGTTCGCTACGTGCTGGCTTTGACTCCAACTGTGGATGCAGGTGAAGGAGGCGTACATCAACTTCCTGAACCACTGCTACATCGACACGGAGGTGGAGATGAAGGAGATCTACACGTCACACCACATCTGGACGCTGTTCGAGAAATCGTTTCTGGTGGATGTCGCTATCGTGGCCAACTCCCCCCACGACAAGAAGCACGCAGACTCGGTGAGTTGTCCTTATGGCTGTAGTGTGTTCGAGTCGAAGAGCGTTCCGGATAGTAGAGCGAAGCTGTATTTCCCACATAGTTCAGTGTGGGACCACTGGGTCCTCACAAAAGAGGTATTCCAATTTCGATCAGTGTCAGCCCCAGATGCCTTTGTTATGGTTTTCCGATGGTTGCGTGTGAGCTGGTCAAGACTGGTAGTTTGTTCGGTGTGGTTGATCAGACCCGAGCTGGCCGAAGGCGGGGGGGGGGGGGGGGGGGATGCTATGAGCATGTCGAGTGTGAGATATATAGAGTATGAGTCGGCTGTAGGTGTCATTATTTGATGTGTATAGACCTACCGTTTGTTTCCGAATCGACGGGTTTGTATGTATCAAGCCGTTGTCCCGAGCCCACCTTTGGTAACAGACGCTTCTGCGTCCGGTAGGTGATGGTGACCTACGTGACGTCCTGTGTGATGAACATCATCTCCACGTTCTTCAAGAGCCCTTTCTCAGACCAGAGCACAACTGTACAAGTGAGTGTGACGTGGCCGACGGTCTCCAGAAGGACGTGACAGGAGGGACCGGGATGTGCCGCGTGCGACTGCGGTGGACGTATCTGTGGTCAGTTGTCGCAGGTGGCTGGGCTGTTTTTGTCGTCTGGCGTGTGCTTCTGAAGCAATGGTCTGTATAGAAGGGAGCGGAGCCAGCAAACCTCATATAGGACTGTCGGTCTTCATTGGATAGTGGTGTGGGGGGGGGGGGGGGGGGGGGGGTGCTGTGCACCTCAGCACCCTGTAGTCGGCCCACCAATGGCAACGCTTCAGTTCGGGATAGCTGCGGAGATGAAGGTATTGTACTGCCGGACCACGACAAGTGGAGAATGGGTAGGTGCGTCCACTCGTGTTAGAACTACTGATCGTGCGCTGATGGCCCGGCCTGGATGCGAGGCGACTCTAAAGCCGTTGCCTTCACCCGTTATGCGGTTTTCGAAGCGCAGGAGTGGACCGAGCAATGTGGTTATTGGGGAAATGGAACGGGCGGCCCGAAACGCTGGCGAAAGTTATTGTAGCTTTCTTTTACTTTTGGTCGGGGTGCCTGTGTTGCTGCCGGCATGAGCCTCCAGGAATAGGAACTGGGCTTCGGTCTATTTTGCGTAGTATACACAACGAACACAGAACACAAACAGCGCAAGGGCCCACTGCCACAAAGCACTCGGATTAGGCCGAGTCCGACTCCGCAGCAGTCGTCAGGAGCCGGCTTACCGGCCAGGCTGGAGGCACGTCAGCAGCATGGTCCCTGCTCTCGTGACTGCCTCCTGCTGAGCAGACCCCGGTGCTCCGCCCGGTGCTCCGTTCGGGGTTCCTCCTGGGCTCCTCCGGTGCTCCTCTGGTGTTCCATCCGTGCTGTGGCTGCCAGCGTGTGTGTGGCCCGTGCTGGGCTGGTGCTTCGGTCCAGGCCGCGACTGACTCTGGGACGCTGGGCGTTGCTTCGCTGCCGTACTGGTCTCGTCCGCCGGGGCGCGGTGGGAGCTGCGATGTTCCCGGCGCGGCCTGTGAGGTGTCACCTTTTCGTTCAGGGCTACCTAGCGGAGGCGGGCTCCTTCTGGCTGCTGGCTGGCGACGGTCCGCTCCCACCCGGTGTAAGTCAGGGCATCACTGGGTGCGCGCCCTCTGCCATCTGTCGGCAGCGTGGGGAAGCTGCACTGCTTGCCGGTGACGCCTGTAGCGGGCCACACCGCCTCTCCGTCTTTCTCTCCTTCTCACCCACTCTCGCCCACCGTCTCTCTCTTGGCTGTGGTGTACCTCTGACCATCGGCACGGCTGGTGGGACACGAGCACGCTCCGGCCTGGGCAGCGGCTGACAGGGTCGTGCCGCACCCTCAGCGCGTGGCGCATGCTGGCCGCCCGGCGAGTTCGGTAGGGGATGGCGTCATGTGTCTTCTATTCGGGCCTGACCGAGCACTGATGATGCGTGGCATTGGCACACCTTTAAAAATCCGGATTGACTTGGCCCTGGCAATGATAGTATTACAGGTTAAGGAGTTGAGCGTATGGTTGGTAAGATCAGTCTATCACCACAGGAAATGTGTTTCATTGGTTTCCTGACTGATGTGACTTCGTTGATTGCGTAATATCAGCGTTTGTTCGTGTTCATTGTGTTGTTAAACACACCATGAGAAGGGTCCATGCCACATGAGAGTGTGACATTGTACTATTGTCATAAGAGCATTGTGTTGCTTGTTTGTCGTGCGTCCAGAAACGGAAATATCTTAAGGGTAGGCGTTTACATGAAGTTGGTTGGTGCCTAAATCTCCTTTTTCATGAATCAACGAAAAACTTGATTCACTTTGGTAATTAATGCCTCGGCGGGTCCGTTGACCCGGCCCCTCGCTCGCTCGTCGGCGGGCTCCCTGACCCGACCCCTCGCTCGGTCGTCGGCGGGCTCCCTGACCCGACCCCTCGCTCGCTCGTCGGCGCGCTCCCTGAACGACCCCTCGCTCGCTCGTCGGCAGGCTCCCTGACCCGACCCCTCGCTCGCTCGTCGGCGGGCTCCCTGACCCGACCCCTCGCTCGCTCGTCGGCGGGCTCCCTGATCCGGCCCCTCGCTCGGTCGTCGGCAGGCTCCCTGACCCGACCCCTCGCTCGCTCGTCGGCGGGCTCCCTGACCCGACCCCTCGCTCGCTCGTCGGCGGGCTCCCTGAACGACCCCTCGCTCGCTCGTCGGCGGGCTCCTTGAACGGCTGCTTACAAAAAGAGTCCACTCTGAGTCGTCAGCATGAGGTTACCTGGTGCGAGTTAGCGCAAAAAGCGATCTTCTGATGCTGTATTGTCGTTTTCGCTGTCGTATCAAGTTCCATAGATGTTGCCGTTACTGCCACGGTTCTGGGGCATATTCCAGTGTCCAGTGGCACTCAGGTTCTCTAGCAGCCTTTTCATTGCGGTAGTTAGTTATTTGATGGTGTCGGAACGCATAGTCCTCCAGCAGATAGGTCAGGATTTCATCTGAAACGCATGTGATCCGACAGAAATTGTGTGTGATCCGCGACTGGCAGTGGCCCTTCATGTCTGAGGGCCTGGGGTAGGAGGGACTGACTTCCTGTGGTCCAGGCACCCTAGGGTGGACTCACTCACCGAAGATCAAGCGGTCGTAATGCCGATCCGCCTCATCAACCGCTGCGTTACGCCGTGCTTGCCTGCTCAGCGCCTCGTCAGTGGTGTCCAGCGGCGTTTGGCCTGGCCCGGCTGCCGTGTGTGGCGCCAGACCGTGGCCGGTGCGTCGTCGCCGTCCCCGCGTGCCTTGCCGCCCCGGCCCGGCGCGGCCGCCGCTGACGCCGCCGCCGCCGCCCGCCCACAGAGCCGGCAGCCGGTGTTCGTGCGCCTGCTGCAGGCCGTGTACCGGCTGTCCCAGGTGGGCTGGCTCATGCCGCAGCAGCGACACTGGGTCGACAGCTGCGTCCAGACGCTGGCGGAAGTCGGTGAGTAGTCAGCCGGAGCCGTCGCCGCCGCCGCGGCCGGTGTGGCGTACCGAGGCCCGTCAGATGCCCGCGTGCTGTCCACCAGGGAAGGCCGACTGGCGTTAGTGTCTGAACATGCCGTCCTGGCCCGTCCTCCGGCTCCTGATTGCCTCAGTGGTAAAGCGGCAAACGCTGTGTCGGATAAGCGAATTACATTCTCTTGTTCCCGTGTCAAAGGCATGGCGGATGTAAGCTGGTATTTGTACTCGGGAGTCGTTCTCGCCAATTGCATTATTATGACGCCCCCATTCTGCATATTGGCGGGGTCGTGGTGGTCGAGCGGCCGGGACTGCGGGCTCCCATCGACGCGGGGATCGGGCTGTGGATCACGGTCGGACCACGAACCTTGCGCTAACGTTCCCTGAAGTGGGCTATTAAGGCCCTTGTCTAGATATTCTGTACAAATTATTCGTCTGTGCTGGCACCTTGCCACAAAAGAACATCCGAAAAGCTATGAGCTTGCATGTAAGGCGAACATGAGCACCGTCTCAGGCTTCCCAAATGTCCACGATAGCCTGGTCACGTTTCGTCGCAAAGATGTGGGATGTTGTATTACCCAATTCGCGGCGAACGTCCCGCGTGATCCCTGTGCTCGTCGCCGTCCTCTCCCGCGGCGCGTGTCCCAGTCCGTGACGCGCCGCCGCCTGCTCCCTCTCCCACTGACCGGCGCCGTCGGTGACCGGCAGCCAAGAGTCGGGGCATCGCCATCCCCAGCGACCTGGAGGTGCAGGTCCAGGCCATGTTCTCCCGGGTGGCCATGGTAAATCGTCAGTCCAACAAGTGGCTTCAGATGATAAGAGGACCCAAGCGGGAGTCGTCCTCCCATCAGGTGAGCGGCTGCGCTCTCTCTCTCTCTCTCTCTCTTCTCTCTCTCTCTCTCCTCTCGCCTCTCTCCTCTCCCTCTCTCTCAGGAGAGAGCGAGAGCAGAGAGAGCGATCTCTAGCTCGAGAGAGACACTGCGATCTCTACGCGCTCACATCTATCAAAGAGAGACGCTATATAGAGAGCGCTCTCTAATAGCAGAGAGCTCTTCTAGCTCTCTCCGCGGAATCAGCTCTCATCGATCTCTCTCTCTCTCCTCTTCATAAAGAGAGCGATCTCGAGGCAGCTCGAGCTCGCTTCTCTCTCTCACCTTCGCATCCCCTCGCTATCCTCTCTCTCTTATCCCTCTCTCTCCCTCTCTCTCTCGATAGCTCTCTCTCTCTCGCTCTCCTCTCTCTATCTCGCTATCCTCTCTCCTCTCTCTTCATCTCTCTTCCTCTCTCTCTATCTCTCCCTCTCTCTCCCTCTCTCCTCTCTCTCCCCTCTCTCTCTCCTCCCTCCCTCTTTCTTCTCGACAGATTCTCCGCAGTAGCGGTGGCTCTGTTGGTGGAGACGTGGGCGCCGGGGTGCCGACGCAGTCGCTGGCGGCGTGCGCGCCCTCACCGCTCACCGCCGGCTGTGTTGCAGCTGAACGCGCGCGTGGATCACAGGATCCTGGAGGGCTTTCACGATATAGTGGCCACGCTGGAGGACCACCTGAAGCCGCTGGTGGAGGCGGAGCTGTCGGTGCTGGTGGACATCCTGTACCGGCCGGAGCTACTCTTCCCGCCCAACACCGAGGCGCGGCTCAAGTGCGAGGACGGCGGCTTCATATCCAGGTGCGGACCGGCGGCGGGGCGCGCCCGGAGCCTCGGGCGCCTGCCCGACGTCCGGCCGTGCCTCGGACGCCGCCGCGCGGTTGTGAGGCTCAGCGGGGGCTTACGCTGCCCTTGCTGCGCGGCGTCACATGGTGCCGCTGTTGGTAGTCGCCTCAATGTACTCACGGTAATCGTTCTCACATGGCACTCACGCTGTTTTTTGTGTGCATGTAGCTGCGTACGTGGATCTCCGCAATCTGCCGTGCCGTCATGTCTGCAGTGGTGTTCGGATAGTCGTGTACCGGCACGCCCGTTGACTCGTCTTCACGTCAAAATACCACGCGCAGCCTGCCGCCCGCGGCGGTCCCCGACCGGCAGTCGTGCGTGTGCTGCCCCACCGCCCGCTTCACATCCATACGAGTCCCTGCGCTCGGATTATTGTCAGACGCGGGACTTTACACAGGCTGGGTTTAGCAGACGAGTCACCGTTCTCTGCCCCCTTCATTGTTATGGGTAGTCGGTGTTTACCGTTCGAGGCACTTCGCGGTCCGTTTAAACTAGACTGGCACCGCGTGCGCGCTGTCAGAGCCAAACTTCGAAACTGTGGCGCTAGTTTCGTTTGACTGTCTCCCCACTGCCGGGCGAAATGTGGTTCGGAAAGCAAGTTGATTGGTTCTTAACATGTCGCATTACGTGAGCATTTCGGAGCCGAATCGCGATGCCGTGGACGGGCGCCGGTGCCGCGTTTGATGTGCGCTCAACCGGGCTGCTGCCTTGCAGGCTGATACGGCATACAGAGAAGCTGCTGGGCAGCATGGAAGAGGGGCTGTGTATCCGGGTGCTGCAGACCCTGCGCTCGATGATGTCCAAGGACGCCAACTACGGGGAGAAGGTGACTGTACTGCTGTGGACTGTGCAGTAGCTGCACTGCTGCACTGCTGCGCTGCTGTACTGCTGTACTGCACACGGCCGCCGACTGCGGCTGCAGCTTAGGAGGCACTCGGAGGTTCCGCGGCGATCATGCAGTGTCAGTTGGCGGTGAGCCAGCGGGAGCTTGTCGATCAGACCGATTTGCCACTGCGCCACGCATGAGCACGTGTAGGAATGTGCCTGGAGGCTTGAAGAGTATCGTGGAATTGGAGCACTAGAACCGTCCTCTGCACGCCCTGTACGCTGCGTGTCGTCGCTGGGTGGCCCGCGTTCAGCCGCGAGCTTGAGTGAAGAGTGCAGTCGTGGCTCCGCTGCTGTACGGCTCGGACCCCCATCTGTCAACCCTGCTCACTGGACGCGGCGGCCCTCCGCCTCCCGACCCTGTGCCGCTCCGACCGCTGACCGCGCCCGCCCGCCGGCCGCCAGGGAGACAAGCTGCGCCTGTCGCTGCTCGAGCGCTACTTCGGCAACCTGCGCACCAAGGCGTCCGGCTCGGCGGCGGCCGGCCAGGGCGCTGGCGCTCTGCAGCGCGCCCCGTCCGGAGGTGAGGCTCTCGGCCGGTCCGGGGTGGCTCCCGCGGCCGGTAAGTGAGGCGAGGCGCGCAGTCTGGGCTAGCTGCTCCCTGCGGCACGTCATGTGTCGTCTGCCGCGCCGGGTGCGGAGGTGGGTGGGAAGGCAGCGTGGGTTACTGGGCTCCGCTCCAATTATGATGTCTGAAGGAGGACCCCGCTCTCCATTAGCACATGGCGAGGGTACTGCAAGGCCTTTGGAGCGTTGCAAGCAGAGTGCGTTACTTGTTTGCTTGCGTGCAACATTTTGTGCGCTTTGCAATATTTTGTCTCAAAATTATTTTCAGGAGGCTTCTGCGCCGTGCAAGGACAACCCTTTGTACGGTTGATCATTGAGGGGTTTTATTTTTCCCAACCCGGCTTATGCTATTAGTGGCCAATGTGCCATGCAGCCTGGCCGGCTTGCAAAGAAACTGGAATCAGTGGCGTGCTGCACCCCGTGCCCCTCCAAAACCACGTACGAATGTGAGTCTGGACAGTTGGCCTTGTGAGACACATAGTTAACTTGACTGCAGTCGGGAAGGGACTGAGGTCGAGATCGGGGCGTGGCGTCATTCGGAGGAGTTGGTGCGGTGGTTCCTCCCGTGCTACAACCGTCTGACATAAGTCGGGCTATGACGGCTCTGCGGGGCGTCTCGCCTACCACTCCCTTCATCAGGTGTTGGGCTTCAACCATGAGCTGACTGGGTTTTAATTATGACGCGTCCATCCCTCCCCTATCCTGAGCTGCCACTGCTTCCACTTGGCCCTTACAAGTTACCGGCTGTCATCCTGTGTCATGCATCTGCTTCTTTTCTTGCCATACCTTACGCTGCATGGCCCTAATCAACTTGGGCCCCGCAGTTTGGCCTCTAGCCGCCTCCATTGGCACACAGGGTCGGGGTGGAGTATTGTTCCCTAACTTGTGCCAAGTTTGGATTGTTAAGAACCTCAGTCACGATTCTGCATGTTAATTTTTGCCCATTTCCTACAAGTTCGGCTGTTTCACACGAGGGGTTCAGTAACATTCGGGCAAAGCGGCCAATAGCGTACAGCTAAGACGTCATTGCTTTGCAGGTCCAGGGTGGCTTTCTCATCCTTAGTCTATCGCCCATTTAGGCGTCCTTTCTCCTGAGAAGGTTTTGTGTTCTCGATGCCTGTCGTTTGGGCACTGTGGCCGAAGGTCATTCGACTTCTCTCCGCGCAGTGACAGCAGACGTCATGTGCATTGGAGGAATGTGTACTTAGTTGTCTTGGCCGCCCGCCGGCTGAAGTTAGTCCATCGAGATTACTCCTTCCCGTTGATCGTTATCTCTAATCTCCCCCACCACCGGACCTGACCTGACTTGACCTGGTCCGTGTGTCCAAGGCACGCTCCGCCTCATCTCCTCACACAACTGAACCATGACACGACCTGGCACCACCCGCCCGTCCGAGTGCGTGTCGACACATGTAACCGTGTCGCCGCTGGTGCCTGAAACTGGAGCCAGCGGACGCCCAGCTGACCGACCGCGTGTGTGCTTCAGGCACGCTGCTGCCGCGCGCCGGCATGACCATGTCGGAGGTGCAGTGTCACCTGGACCGGGAGGGCGCCAGCACGCTGGTCATGGAGCTGGTCACCCGCTCGGCCGCCAGCCACGAGATCTTCACCGAGGCCGTCCAGCTGGGAATTGCCCTGCTCGAGGGAGGCAACCCCGACATCCAGCGCAGCATGTACAGCACGCTTATGCTCAAGGAGAGCACGCGCCAGGCGTTCTTCAAGGTGGGCGCAGCAGGAGGGCAGCACGGGCAGGGTGCACGCGGCGGCTGGCGATATCGACGGCGCGCATCCGCAGCTGCCGCCTCGTCAGGGAAGCAGGGGGTCGGCCAACCGGTTGTGCAAAATCGCCTCAATCAGCCACTCCCTTTTCGCGTACAAACGTTAGATTTCAGCTGTATACTTTGAAACGACCATGCGTTTGTTTGGCGGTGCACGTTCAGTTCCCGCGCGTGTTTTGAGACGAACCTGTGTGGACTGGGCGCGTGTTCCGGGCGGTCAACTCGTGGTGCGTGGCCGCGCCCCGCCGCACCGCGGCCGGCGTCTGACGAGCGCCGCCCGCCCGCGCCGCCAGGTGTTTTCGGAGAAGATGCGCGACGCCCAGATCGAGATCAAGAACACGGTGACGGTGAACACGGCCGACATCACGGCCAAGTCGGCCGAGGCCCAGCAGGGCAAGGAGCAGGAGAAGCAGCCCAAGCTGCGCCGGCCGACGCCGCGCGCCAACGGCCTCACCGTCACCGACGAGCTGCGCGCCGAGCTCAACGACGCGGCGCGCAGCACCCAGCAGGCCTATCACAACGTGCGCAGCACCATCGAAGGTCGGTGCGGAGCGGGCGGTGCGGCCTGTGCACTGTCGTAGAGGGCCGTGTGTCGGAACGTTGGCGGTGCCCTGGGAAGCCAGTGTTTGTTACGGCCCCTCGGCTCCGGGCTCTGTGCTGCCCGGCGGTGTCGGGCGTGGTGTGGGGCCGTCAGGCTCCGACCAACGGACAACGACAGTGAGACCGAGCGCTCGGCTGGGTTGGGTCTGTAGTGTGACCCCCTGTCTCTGGTGTCGGCAGGTGACGAGGGTGAGACTGAGCGCTCGCCGAGTCGGGCTCGTAGTGTGACCCCCTGTCTGGTGTCGGTAGGTGACGAGGGTGAGGCCGGCCTGGCGCCCTCCTCGGACGCGCTGGTGGACATGCTGGCCGAACGGGCCGACCGCGTCAAGGAGAAGCACGACGATAACGCGCTCTCGACCAAGGTCATGGTCATGGACCCGATCCTGCGCTTCCTGCAGCTGCTCTGCGAGAACCACAACGCCCTGCTGCAGGTACGGGCCACCACCGGCGCGAGGCGAGCACGGCCGCCCGCCGTTTGGCTCAGACTGCCGCCGAGGCGAGCCAGGCACGGCCGCCCGCCGTTTGGCTCAGGTTGCCGCCGAGGCGAGCCAGGCACGGCCGCCCGCCGTTTGGCTCAGGCTGCCGCCGAGGCGAGCCAGGCACGGCCGCCCGCCGTTTGGCTCAGGCTGCCGCCGAGGCGAGCCAGGCACGGCCGCCCGCCGTTTGGCTCAGGCCTCTACGTGCCGGTCGCAGATAGAGGAGGAGCCGTTTATAGATAGCAGATAGAGGGGTAGGAGGACTACAGCATTTTTGGGGTCCGAAACTCGATATGGTGGTTTGCGTGTACTTTGCACGTAGTTGCACGCTGACAGACGCGACGTATGTTCGTGATCTGTAGCGGAGATGTCGATCGGTGCATACACGCAGTTTTTTACGCTGCCGGTAGACTATCGGAAGCTTTGATAAGTTGTGCTGAAGCTGTGGAAGCTGTGTTGCGTTTTCGCATTAAATGCAAAATGTTTTGCTGGTGCGGCCGTTTGTGGCTTGCCTCTCCCCTATCGTTGCCATCGGGTACTCGCGCCGAAACAAGAACGGTTTGAAACGTCACGCATGGTCATCACCGCCCGGCTTGTATGACTGATACAATTCACGGGACGCGGATTGTATGACTGCTGCAATGAGGCGCCTGCCGAACTTGAGCACCCCCTCGCTGCCCCGCTTCACAGAACTTCCTGCGCGACCTGCACAACAAGGGCAAGTGCAGCCTGGTCTCGGAGACGCTCATGTTTCTGGACTGCATCTGCGGCTCGACCACCGGCGGCCTGGGCCTACTCGGGCTCTACATCAACGAGTTCAATGTCCACCTCATCGTGCAGACGCTTAAGACGCTCACCGAGTACTGTCAGGTGGGCGGGTCGGGGTTCAATGGCCGCCGGAGGAAACTTTCGGCGACGCTGGCTTCCGTCAGGGATATGACGCTCATGATGCTCACCGAGTACTGTCAGGTCGGCGGGTCTGGGTTCAATGCTCGCCGGAGGAAGCTTCCGGCGGCGCTGGCTTCCTGTCAGGGATGTGACGTTTATGAGCTGAGTAGTTGATTGCGTCAATCGATAAACTTGAGTATTATTGGGGTTATGCCCTCGGGCTTGCCTGAGAAACTGGATGTGGACTTGAGTAGAAGAAGTTTACCTCGTTTGCAGTCTGAATGTGTTCTCATCGTGTTGTTCTCTGGTCGTTCCGTCGCAGGGGCCGTGCCATGAGAACCAGAACTGCATCGCCACCCACGAGTCGAACGGCCTGGACATAATCATCGCACTCATCCTGAACGACATCAACCCGCTGGGAAAGACGCGGATGGACCTGGTGTTGGACCTCAAGAACAACGCTTCCAAGCTGCTGCTGGCCATCATGGAGTCGCGCGCCGACAGTGAGAACGCCGAACGCATCCTCAGCAACATGAACCCCAAACAGCTGGTGAGTGCGGCGCCTGCGACCGGCCGGGGGCGGCCGCAGGTGGCCGGGGCGAGACAGCCGGCTGGGCGTAGCAACTGGTCGAGGCGGCGGAAAGTCGAGGGATGGTGATTTCTGAACACTGCAGTGTTTGCGTTTCGGCAGCTGCCGTGAAGAAGCGCACGGTTCTGTGCCGAACGGATCGTAGTGCAGGCCACAACGATTGACATTTGGTGACCCGCCCGCGAGGCCGGGTATGAAACGAGACACGTCCGCTGTCTCACAAGCTCAGACCTAGGGCAGGACTGTGCGCTGTCGTCCGGCCGCCGCGCGGCACCGTGACGCGTGCGGTGACGCGGTCCGCCCGCCCGGCAGCTGGAGGTGGCGTGCCGCGCCTATTACCAGGACGGCCTGGTGGACGACACGGACGACGACCCGGCCGACGGCGACGACGGCGTGTCGCCGCGCGAGGTGGGCTCCGTGGCGGCCCGGCGCCGAGCCAGGTGGTGACGCTTGTGCGCCGGCCTGTCGCCGGTCGGGTGATATTGCTATTGATATGGATATTGTAACGACCATCGGTGTTAGTTGAGGAACGTTTCGTGCACGTGTTTAGCCGTAATCGGCGCGACGGTGGAGTTTTTTCGGGAGGGTCTGGCCGTCAGCACGTGATGACGGTCTGGTGTTTGTGAGAGAGGTTGATCACAGGACGTCGAGCGGGACGCTGAGCAGAGGTTGAATCAACGTTGACTTCGAGGAGATACGAGGCGTCGAGCCGACCTGCTCGGCTCTCTGTGTCACTGCTCGCCGCTAGATACGGGGGGGGGGGGGGGGACCTCACTGTGGTGGCGGACCTGACCGTAAGCAGCGCTGCTCCGACTGACCGGTCGTCTCCCCGGCAGGTGGGGCACAACATCTACATCCTGTGTCACCAGCTGTCGCACCACAACCGGGAGCTGCAGGCGCTGCTCCGCCAGACGGACAACCTGGACGTCAAGATGGCGCGCGCGCTCGAGTACTACCGCACGCACACGGCGCAGATCGAGGTGCGCCTCTGGTGGGGAAGGGACGCCGCATGCTGGTCTTGGTGACAGATACGATAGGTCGTGGCAGTGGATGGCGGGACCAAGTGGAGTTGGAGTGCGTGCGGCGGGATTGGCAGAGTGTGTCTCCGACACAGCGCGTCTCCGTGCGCTCACGGTCGCGGCGCCGTCTGTCGGCAGATCGTGCGGCTGGACCGGACAATGGAGCAGATTGTGTTCCCGATCCCGGAGATCTGCGAGTACCTGACGCAGGAGACGCAGGCGCGCGTTCACACGACCGTCGAGCGCGACGAGCAGGGCTCCAAGGTGCAGGGCTTCTTCGATCAGTGCGACTACCTCTTCGACGAGATGAAGTGGCAAAAGAAGCTGAGAGGTAGGCAGCCTGGTGGCGGCGTGGGTCGCCTGTCCTCCTGTCCTGTCCTGTCGTGGCCTGCTGTCGGGCGTCACTTGAGCTCCCGTCTGCACGGAGCGTTCTGCCGTGCCTATCCTCTGTGGTGTCTGTGCGTACGGACTCTACCTCCCTGTCTGTGTATCTCCATATGTGTGCTCATCTGTAGGCGTACAACTTTGTCTATGGTTATATCTCCGTCCACTTCCCTTCCACTTTTCTCCATCTCTTGTGCTTTGCCTCCTCTCCCAATCCGCGCCGTCTGGCCGCCGTCAGGTTCCAGGGTGCCAAAATTCATCTAGTAGGGTGTGCAGGATGTCAATATTAATTCATGCTACCAGAGTCCTGACGCCTCGGCGGTCCCCATGTGCAATTCGTTGGCGCTAATCCGTTGTTCTTTGACCCTGACCCAGATATCTGACCCACTCAGTATATTTCGCAAGCCTGAGGCGCATAGATGCCGGCTTGATAGCCGCCCGATTTGATGCTGATTGGCCGATTTTTAGCAAGGGGAGCGGCCACAGGCAGTGAGCCCGAAGCCGAGGTATTATAGCATGAACATATCGATATCCCTGACACCCAAGCGCCCTGCCGCAGCGTTGGACAGCCGTCCCCCTCCCCTCCGCCGCCCCGCCGTTTGTAACAGGCAGCCAGCGCGCCTGTACCACAGGTGGACAGCCGTTCGCCCCCCCTCGCCGCCGCCGCCCGTCGTCGTTAACAGCGCGCCCTACCTTCAGGGGGACGGCCGTCACCCCCCCCCCCCCCCTTCCTCGACCGCGCCGCCGTCCCCCCGTAACACGCGCGCCCCACCCCACCCACGGGTGGACGGCCGTCGCCTCCCCTCGCCGCCATCCTGTCGTGAGAGCGTATCCAGCCGCAGGGTGGACAGGCCGTCAACCTCCCCATTCGCCGCCCTCCGTCGTGAGATAGCGTTACCCTAGCCCGCAGGGTGAACCGGCCGTTCTCACCTCCCCTCGCCCGCCATCCGTCGTGAGAGCGTATCCTAGCCGCAGGTGGACGGCCCGTCACCTCTCCCCTCGCCGGCCTCCCGTCGTGAGAGCGTACCTAGCCGCAGGTGGCGGCCGTCGCCTCCCCGCCGCCTCCGTCGTGAGAGCGTACCTAGCCGCAGGTGGACGGCCGTCACCTCCCCTCGCCGCCTCCGTCGTGAGAGCGTACCTAGCCGCAGGTGGACGGCCGTCGCCTCCCCTCGCCGCTCCGTCGTGAGAGCGTACCTAGCCGCAGGTGGACGGCCGTCACCTCCCCTCGCCGCCTCCGTCGTGAGAGCGTACCTAGCCGCAGGTGGACGGCCGTCCCTCCCCTCGCCGCCTCCGTCGTGAGAGCGTACCCAGCGCAGGTGGACGGCCGTCGCCTCCCCTCGCCGCCTCCGTCGTGAGAGCGTACCTAGCCGCAGGTGGACGGCCGTCCGCCTCCCCTCGCCGCCTCCGTCGTGAGAGCGTACCCAGCCGCAGGCGGACAGCTCTCGTCTGACCGCGACTCAGCAATGCCTTCCGACTGTCCCGCAGGCCAGGCGCTGCTCTTCCGCATCAGCAACTACATGAGCCTCTGGTCGCACGTACTCTTCTTCCTGGCCGTCATCATCAACATGCTGGTGGCCGTCAGCTACCCCTTCACGGACGACTGGCCAAGTGAGACCGGCGCCTGGCTGGCTTCAGGCTCACACCTCACAGCGATACGGTTGGGGGAGACTCGGTTTGGCTGGTGGAAGTCATTATCAATGGATTGTCGTTGGGAACAAATGTCAGGACGCGCCGGCAGACAACCCCCAGGGAGCGGATTGAGTTTGTCTTGATAAGGATACCGGATTCTGAATGGAATGGTGGCTGGCGAGTGGCCAGTTTGCTGGCACGACTTCCGTGAACAGGCGCCGGTCTGATTTGTGTTCCCAGTTATCAGTTCCCAGGAGCACCAGTTTATTGTCCGTGTATTCTCGATCACCATTTTTCCTTAAGTTTTGTGGGGGAGAAGCGCTGCCGGAATAGCCGTCCCGGCGTGCTGCCCGCAGTCCGGGTCCTCACAAGAAGTCGCATATTAGCACCCACACGTGCTTTGTCTCTGCGCGCCCTGAGCATGCTGGGGGTGTGGTTCGTGCTTGATGAAGTTCATGCTTGAGCTCAAGTGTGTCCGATGTTATGTCGAGCTGTGGCGTCAGCCGGCTGATCACGTGTTGGCACGTGTTCCAGACGTGGGCAACTGGATGCCGTTCACATGGGCTGCGACGTTTGTGGCGGCGGCAGGCGCCTTCTGGTTCCCCGGCGCCGTGTCGTTCATGCTGCTATTCCTCTGCGTGCTCGGTATCTTTATCTTCACCGCCGGTCTCGAGTCGGTCATCTTCATTGTAGGACTGATAAACGTGAGTGAGCCGCACGCGCCGTGGTGGCGGGGGGGGGGGGGGGACAGACTGAGGCTGCCTGCCGGGACGGGGAGGGGAGGGGCTGACTGAATCCGCAGTGCCGGGATGGGGCGGGGGGGGGGGGGCTGTAAGCTGGGACGAGACAGGGAGTGGGCAGACCGGGACGGTGGGGGAAGGGGGAGCTGGGCTGTGTGTCGGGATGAGGCAAGAAGGGCGGAGACTGAGGCTGTGTGCCGGGACGGTGGGAGGGAGTGGGGGTGAGCTAAAGCTGCTACTCCTGCTGATGCGTATTATTTCCTGATGAATGCCGCTGTTACTCCTGCAATAATCGAATATGTGCAGAGCGAAGTGCGACAAGTACAAAGTACCCGTAATCCGTACAGGGTTCCTTGTTCAATTTAACCATCGCCGTTACACGCTGGACTCCTCCGCTTCCAGCTGGTGTTCAAAGGCATTCACGTGGCCAGCATCATGGGCAACAAGGGCTCGTTCGAGAAGACGTTCCGCCAGCGCGTCTCCGACTACGAGCTGCTCTACCACTTCGCCTACTTCGTGGTGTGCGTGTTCGGCCTGTCGCACTGCTTCTTCTACTCCGTGCTGCTGTTCGACGTGGTGTACCGCGAGGAGACGCTGCTCAACGTCATGAAGTCGGTCACCAAGAACGGCCGCTCCATCCTGCTGACGGCCGTGCTGGCGCTCATCCTGGTCTACCTCTTCTCCATCATCGGCTTCATGTTCTTCCAGGACGACTTCGTCGTGCCCGTCAACCTCGGTCAGCGGACAGGTAGGCCTGCCGGACCGGACTCGCCCGCACCGCGGCGGCGGCCTGTGGGGGCGCGCTCTGGCAGTGGGGTGAGATTTACAGTGCAAGCAGTCCCAGTGGCAATGGCCGCATCTCTGTGCTGTCCTGCCGTCGGAAGGGAGCTGTGACCCTTCGTTTGGTGCACACTTAACGCGCAGCTGTGTGTGTCTTGAATGCGAAACAGGTGTATGTTACCACGCGGCTTAGTGGCTGGTGCGTGAGTGCACATCGTTTTTTTTCATGTCGGCATCCCTCTCACACCCATCATCGCTAGTTCCTAGTCAGTTGCGTCCCCTTCCCCTCCCCTTCCCTTCCGTAAACACCAGATCTAACACGTGTGCCGTACCCCGTGAGCCAACTGGTACGTGAGCGTGTGACCTCACGTGACCTGACTATACACGCGGCTGGAGGCGTGTGACCTGTGACCTGACTGGGTTGTGACCGCATGACCGGGCAGACGTGGCCGAAGACGTGCTGGAGGCGGCGGCCGGCAGCGGCGCGGGCTGGTGCGACGCCGAGGAGGCGTGCTCGGCCGAGACGTCCGCCCACAAATACACCCACTGTGAGTCGAACGCTACCTGCCGAACGCCGCCGCCAACTGGTGGCTGTGGAGGGGTTTTCAGCTGCTTGCACTGGACAGGGATGGCTGCTCAACTCTGCCTACATAATCGATGCGGAATCTCATGATGGCCCGTAATATGTTTTCGAATGGCCTCATTTGCAGCGAATTCATCATGAAATCGGCAGCCGGCTTATGCCTGTCTCAGTCCGCAGACTGGAGACCGGATTCATGAATGATGATAGCCTGCGAGCTGTCTGATCGTGCTGTGATCTGGAGCTGTCCATTTCGTCCTGCGCCGCCCCCACCTCATCCCACCCCTCACTTCCGCTGACACTCTTCTGCTGGCGCCCACCTGTGCTGACACCCGCTCTGCTGATCCCCGTCCTGCTAACGCCGGCCTTTGCTGACCCCCGACCTGCTGACGCCGGTCTTTGCTGATCCGCGACCCGCTGACGCCGGCCTCTGCTGATCCCCGACCCGCTGACGCCAGCCTCTGCTGATCCCCGACCCGCTGACGCCGGTCTTTGCTGACCCTCGGCCCGCTGACGCCGGTCTTTGCTGACCCTCAGCCCGCTGACGCGGGCTTTGCTGACCCCCGTCCCACTGACGCCGGTCTTTGCTGACCCTCGGCCCACTGACGCCGGCCTCTGCTGATCCCCGACCCGCTGACGTCGGTCTCTGCTGACCCTCCGCCCTCTGACGCCGCTCCGCCTCGGCAGCGGCGGCACCGCCGGACGTGCCGGCCGACGAGGAGCAGCGCGAGCGCGCCTGTGACACGCTCATGATGTGCATCGTCACCACGCTGAACCAAGGCCTGCGCAATGGCGGCGGCATCGGGGACGTGCTGCGCGCGCCCAGCAGCAAGGTGCGGCCGCACGGCGTCCGGCCCGCTCGACGGTCAACTGCTGGCAGCCGCCGTGGCGGGCGGCTGAGTGGCGTGCTGTGCGCGTGTTGCGGTGTGGCGACGGACCGGTGCGCCTCGAGGAAGGCGTGTGAGATTCGCACGGCTCCAGAGATATGCGCCTTTGGAGCACGTAAGCTCCATGTACCCATTCCATGCGATGTACTGGAGCATGCGGCGTCTTGCCGCATGATCCGTGCCGTTCCTTACCTCACATTCGCCTGACGTGCCGGACTATGGTAAGTATTATGGTGCTGGTTCTGGGCGTTGTGGCACCAGTGACGCTACCGTTCGCCGCCAGGACCCGCTGTTCACGGCCCGTGTGATATACGACCTGCTGTTCTTCTTCGTCGTCATCATCATCGTGCTGAACCTTATCTTCGGTGTCATCATCGACACGTTCGCCGATCTCAGGAGCGACAAGCAGCAGAAGGAGGAGATTCTGAAGAACTCGTGCTTCGTCTGCGGTGAGTGCGCGCAACCTCGGCGCAACACGGGGAGTGTTGGTTTAGCGGGAGGACGAGGCGTACCGCGGTGCTCACTAGCAGCCTGGGGAGGGAGGCTAACGGCGTGGACAGCATCAGTGGACCCGCTGCTGCTGGCCGCCGGCACGTTCTAACCGGCGTCCAGTCACAGCGCGGCGAGCAAGCCCAGTTCAAGAGCCGCTCCAGGGACGCCCAATCATTTGTTAACTAGGTAATGCAGTGTCATGTAAGAGGCGGCGTCGACCTCGGCGAGTGTCCGATCCTTAGGAAAGTGCTCCGCTGGGGTGCTCCGCCGTGCCCTGCTGCGGGGTGACCCGCTGCCGGTGTCGGAACAAAGCGCTCCTTTGTTGGTTCTGGAGTTCGATCGCAGTCCGAGATCGTGACGCAAAGTAGACCAGACTTCCCAACAGATTTGGTGAGATTGTGGGCATGGTTTTGGCTGGCTTTAAATAGAAGTTTGATGTACCTTGATGACGAGGGCATATTCTTTGAGGCATATTTTAAGAGGCATGCTGTAATTGTGTCATGTGGCTTTGGTATGTTGCTTTAATTGTGTCACGTGGGTTTGGTATGCTACTTTAATTGTGCCACGTGGCTTTGGTATGTTGCTTTACGATGGCCGGTGCCCAGCTGAACCTGAAACCTGTCTCGAAAGATGGCTGAGCATCGTCTTTTCCTTCCAGGTCTGCAGCGGAGCGACTTTGACAATAAATCGGTGACCTTTGAGGAGCACGTGAAGAACGAGCACAACATGTGGCATTACCTGTACTTTATTGTGCTCATCAAGGTCAAGGTGTCGACCGAGTTCACTGGCCCGGAGAGCTACGTTTACAACATGGTTCAGGTATAGACACTGCGCACTTTGCTGGCGAGTCGTTGACTTGGTCACGGAACGTATGCACGCAGTTGCCGCGTTTGTTATGGGCTACGTGCGACGATGGCTAGATTGTATTGGATGCAGCGGATTGTGTATAGTGCAATGGGAGGAATGTTGTCGGATAACTGATCCGTGTAACGTTGATGAAGGCGTGAAGATATCGCCCAGACGTCATCAGTCATGCAGTCTGGGTTGGCTGATCACTGACGCCTGGACGATTGTTGTCAGAAGCTCGGAATAGACACGAGCCGTGGCGTGGAATCCGTCTGATAATGGCAATGCCTGGAAGGCTGTCATCAGCGACATCGGAATGGCATTGTTGGAACCAGACGAGTGCGCGTTTCTCGAGGAGGTGGGAAAGGCGGGGGGGGGGGGGGGGAGGGGCGGGGTCCGATGGTGCTGCGTCCGCCCCGCCACCGAAGCCGGCGGCGACTGACCCGGCCACTCCGTCGGCGGCCGCAGGAGAAGAACCTCGACTGGTTCCCGCGCATGCGCGCCATGTCGCTGACCACCGGCGAGGCCGAGGGCGAGCAGAACGACCTGCGCAGCCTGCAGCACAAGCTGGACACCACCATGGGCCTGGTGAAGACGCTGTCCGACCAGCTGGCCGAGCTGCGTGACCAGGTAAGCGTCGGATCCTGCGTCCGGCGCGGCGCCGGGAGATCCTGCGCCGCAGACGCACTGGCCGGGCGGCGCCGGGCCTCCGGGGCGGCGCGCTTGTGCCGTGCGGCGAGTTCGAGTGCTGTTGACAGAGCAAACGAGCCGGCGACGACGCTGTTGATTGCGACCGTGGCGGTAGTTGGGGAAGGTCGTGGGGGGTGGCTGCCGCTCTCAGATTGCAAAAGTTTTCACATTATGCCTGCACAAGCGCGCACTTAGGCTATGGTAAGGATCATAACGCATGGCGGCACTTGGGAAGAAATAAATTAATGACCTTGAACGGCAGCGACGGTGACGGCTTGGGCGGGGAGGAGGGACGGTATTGAAGCCGAGCGGTACTGCAGACTGCCGATTGGGGCTGTCTCGGCTGTGGTCCGGTCGTCTGACGCCGGTTCCCTCTCAGCTTCGGCTATGGTCCGGTCGTCTGACGCCCGTTCCCTCTCAGCCTCGGCTGTGGTCCGGGTCGTCTGACGCCGGTTCCCTCTCAGCCTCGGCTGTGGTCCGGTGTCTGACGCCCGTTCCCTCTCAGCCTCGGCTATGGTCCGGCCGTCTGACGTCCGTTCCCTCTCACCCTCGGCTCTGGTCCGGTCGTCTGACGCCCGTTCCCTCTCAGCCTCGGCTATGGTCCGGTCGTCTGACGTCCGTTCCCTCTCAGCCTCGGCCGTGGTCTGGTCGTCTGACGCCCGTTCCCTCTCAGCCTCGGCTATGGTCCGGTCGTCTGACGCCCGTTCCCTCTCAGCCTCGGCTATGGTCCGGTCGTCTGACGCCGTTCCCTCTCAGCCTCGGCTATGGTCCGGTCGTCTGACGTCCGTTCCCTTTTCAGCCTCGGCCGTGGTCCGGTCGTCTGACGTCCGTTCCCTCTCAGCCTCGGCTGTGGTCCGGTCTTCTCGACGTCCGTTCCTCTCAGCCTCGGCTATGGTCCGGCCGTCTGACGTCCGTTCGCTCTCAGCCTCGGCTATGGTCCGGTCGTCTGACGCCCGATCCCTCTCAGCCTCGGCTATGGTCCGGTTGTCTGACGCCCGTTCCCTCTCAGCCTCGGCCGTGGTCCGGTCGTCTGACGCCCCGCTCCTTCCCTCTTCATAGATGAGCGAGCAGCGCAAGCAGAAGCAGCGCATCGACTTGCTGCAACCGGGCCTGACGCCTCACCCCAACGACGCCGCCAACCACCTCTAGAGCCTGCTGCACGCGCTGTGTCGCGCCACACGGCCGGCGGCCGGCTCCAGCGCGGCGGCGGTGGCGGCGGCCGGCCGGCCCCGCGCCCTCTCCTTGGCCGAGGCGGCCGGTCGGCCGCGCGCCGAGGCCCGTCGCGCCACCGTCACCGGCACTTGCCGGCTGTGAGGTGCGCTGGCCGGCCGGGAGGGGGCACTGCCGGCGACACGGCTGGCAGGCCTCGACGGAGCTCGAGGTGTTCCGAACTTTCGGCCACGGCAGAGACGCCGTCCGCCGGGGTGACTGTGAAGACGAGTACGAAACCGACTCTGGGAGATGCGCGAGGTTGACTCCGGAGTCGACGCGGAGGGGAGTCCGAGGTCGACTTCGGAGGCGAATCGTGAGATTACCGCGTGGGAGACTGTTGAGCCGCTTCCTGGGCCGGCGACGAAACATCGACGGCCGCCGGGCCAGCGAGAATCTGAGGTGACAGAACGTGGCAGCTGCGGACGGGGCTCACCGCGCACGACGCGCTCGTGCGTGTGCGTGGGTGCTCAGTGTGTGTGTGACAATAGGGGTGCGAGTGCGGCGCGCGCCGGCGCGGGCTTCCCGCCGCCGGCGTCGGCGGCGCCGCCCGCCGACGCTCCTCCCCTTCCATCAGGTACGGACGATCAGCGCGGCGTGTGGGGCTGGTGTCTACGGCCGGTGCGGGCCGCGCGGCGCGTGGTGCGACTCCATGAGGAACGGCTGCCGACTCCTGGCTCGGTCAGCCTGGCGTCAGCCGGTTTTGGCCGGGCGAACAGGGGGATGTGACCCGCGCGGCGCCGGCCGGCTGCTCGGGGCGGCGGCCCCGGCAGCGTTGTTACTTCGGATCACAGCTGTAGTTCTTCCTGTGCCAGAATTTATTGACACGTTACTTGATATTGTAAGGCGTAGTCATGCGGCGGCGGCGCAGCATCGCCGCCCCAGCGCTCGTAGCAGTAAGGCGCGCGGGAGGCCCAGATGGCGTTTACGTTGTTTTTATTCTGAGGTGTATTCTGCTTTTCTGGGCGCCTGGTCCAGATGTTAGCGATGTCGATGATGTAGTGCTTTTGCTGCCGGTGTTCGCATTTTACCGCCCGTGGGAGGCGCACGCCAATAGCTATATTACTGTCCCGTTGTCTTGTTGAAATAAACTTTACGTATGTTTTTGGAACCGAGGTTTTCAAATGATGCCCACGCATGGTTCAAGTCTTCTTTCATCCGCGTAGTCTAAATGGTAAAATATTTGACTGCAGCAAGACCCACGTGGTGCATGCCACCATCGTCCGCTTACGAACAGCAGTCGATCTGATATGGATATCCCGTTCTGACCCGTCCTCGAGTAGCAACGCCTGCGAACAGATCGGCCACACGGCCCGCCCGCCGTCTTGCTTTGACATCAGCATCAGCTATCCGGTCCATGGACAAGGAAACGCGTTAGGTGAACACAGTATGTGGGCCCGGTCAAATAGGAAAGTGCTCAAACTAGACGGACGTACATGCTGAGTCCTCGAGTTATTGTGCTCAGAGTGTGTTAAAGTCGCTGCCAGTGTCGCGTCTTCAGCCTGATCTGCACGACTGGGAGCCGAGACGGATCGGCTGATCCACCTGCGAAGGCAATAGGTCCCTATCTTCGGCAACAACACAGTCAATGACTACTAGACGAAAGGCAGTGAGACATCACCACCACATACAGAGCTCGCGGTCCTGAGGCACATGCTTCCCGCCGCCCGTCTCACTGCAGATGAAGGCACAAAGGTATGGCTTACCGCGCCGGCGGAGCGGTACGCACCACACGCGCACCTCGCTAAGGCCGTCACTAAGGCACGGGTTTCGCTCCGCGGCCCGGCGGAGCCCCCTTCTGCGGCTGACATCGTACGTTCCGGCGGGCGGGTGCCGCAGACCCGGCGAGTCGCGGCGGCGCAGACTCCGGGCCGACCGCAGACGCCTTCCGGTGTCTGGCAGCTGGAGCGGAAGTTCACTTCCGGTCGGCGCTGTCTCACAGCTCGTCCGGTTGCCGGTGAGGTCCGGGTCTGCGGCAGACGCGGCGCCGGCCACGGCACGCCTCGGTATTCATGAAACACCCCGGGAGAGGACGGCGCGGGTCCGCCAACCAAATGGGAAATAGGTTGTCGTACTTGAAACGAGCTTCCGAACTTGAAACGAACTTTCAGCTTCCAGTCGCACAGCAAAAGTAATCGCATGCAGGAGATCCCCTCATTGAAATGCATCCAAGAACATTCTAGATCACCTCACAAATCCTCGCGCACGAGTATGAACGCATTAATTAAGGATTTCAGTCACTGGACGACGGGGGGGGGGGGGGGAGACAGGGCACGGAACTTAACCTCCACTCCGATCCCGACAAGCACATGCACTGGTCACTGTAGGCAGCTGGCTGGGAGGTGGTGCCGCCTGGTCTGGGCTTGGCTGGGCTGTCCAGGTTCGTCACCAGCTCAGGCTGCACCAGAGACGAGGTACGGCACCAGCTCCGGCTACGCCTGTGACGCTGGGTCCGGGCTTGGCTGGAGCTGTCCAGGTACGGCACCAGCTCTGGCTGCATCAGTGACGCTGGGTCCGGGCTCGGCTGGGGCTGTCCAGGTACGGCACCAGCTCTGGCTGCGCCTGTGATGCTGGGTCCGGGCCTGGCTGAAGCTGTCCATGTACGGCCCCAGCTCCGGCTGCATCAGTGACGCTGGGTCCGGGCTTGGCTGGAGCTGTCCAGGTACGGCACCAGCTCCAGCTGCATCAGTGACGCTGGGTCCGGGCTCGGCTGGGGCTGTCCAGGTACGGCACCAGCTCCGGCTGCGCCTGTGACGCTGGGTCCGCGTCTGACTGCAACTCAAAACGCGTCGACTTCAAAGTCTCCCTGTCAGCTGCAGCTCGCCCCGCCTCCCTCAGACTAAACACGGCACGGGCTTTGAACTCACCGTTGCAAAGGGCTCCCTGCCAGCTCCAGGTCGTCCAGCGGCGCGGCATCTTCAACCTGCCAGAAGTCGGCAGTGCTGCCCTCCGGCTCCACGTACCAGCTGACGAAGAGCAGCTCCAACTCGTACGAGGCTGGTTCGGCGGCGTCGTCCTGTTGAAGGCGGCCAGTGAAGGGGCATGTGCACTTTGCAGTGCGCGCGCATATGTAGGGCACTTTGCTTTACTATCACAGTTCGGCCCTGAAGCGTCCTTTTGAAACGTCGTTTTGGCACTGGTGTCCGTGGAACCTGAGCATTTCGTTGAAAGAGAGTCAGAGGGTGATCCTGTCCCGTTTTTGACGCCGGGGCGACCCCACCGGGCAAAAGTCGTCCCAGGAAAGTCATCATTGCGGTCTGACTCTGGGTTATTTGCCTGATTGCGACTGCGCCACAGAACAAGAACTCGATAAGCAACACACAGCAGCCGAAGCGTTTAGGTCAGTTAAAACTTCATGCTTGGTCCCAGAACTGTCCTGGCGTATATCACGTTATCCACTAAACTCCCGTTCGTTTTTTCGGGTGATCCCCATGCCATCGGGCCGGAGCTGGCGGTGATGCTCAAACCCCGGATGTTCGCCCCGACCGCAGCGGCATCAGCGCTCGGCAGAACTCTCCCCGTCCCGCGCCCTCCCTGAGCCGAGCCGGCGCGCAGGACCGCTTACGTCATACACCTGCAGGGTCCGCTGGCCGGGGCCCAGGTGGCCGCAGGGCAGCGTGACGTTGGTGCTCATGTGGAGGTCCCAGCGGGCCCAGGGCGGCGTGCCGGGGCCCGGCGGTTGACTGCTCCACCGCACCTCCTTGGTCGTGGAGCATCTGCACGCACAGTACGACATACGGATTGTGCCGTTTTATGTGCGTCCGTAGAGCCGGCTGGAGAGCGGCACAAGTCGAGGCTAAACACACCGGCTGGTTGCTTCAGTTTTAGCAACATTACCCTCACTGCTTCAGAAATGTCCGTCCGTCACAGCTGACAACGAGAACTGAAGCCGTTATGATGGAGTTGGACGTCGATAGTCTGATTTTTTCCGACAACTGCGTCTCTCCCAGTGGTACATTAACATCTGTCGCCGAGGGATGCCCTCCCTCCCTCTCAGTTCTGACCCCAGCGTATGAGTCTCCCAGCAGACACGGCGTGCACTAGTCGGCATCCTCCCGCGAATCACCATCATCCAGACTATGACCAGCCTGCTCCGAGCTGTCGTGAGCCGTCCCATCTCCGGTTCTAATCCCCCGGGTCACCTGCCTCTCCCGACCACCCTGCGTGAGCGCGTGAGCGTGTGACCCCACCTCACCTGAGCGTGTGACCCTCCCAGAGCTGCACCCGCAGTCGGACCGGGTCAGAGGTACGCGTCGTCACGTTCAGCCGGGGGAACACCAGCGCCCCCGGGTGCGGCTGGCGGTCGCACGCCTCGTACGCGGCCGCCGTCCAGCGTTCGGGCGCGTGGAACCAAAGCTCGACCAGCAGCGACGCCGCGCCGGCTGGTAGGTGGGGTATGGGCGCGTTCAGGCGCGCGCCGAAGTGGCGCCGGTCGGGTGGCGGGTCCGTGGTGGCTCGCACGCTGCGCAGGTGGCCGCCGGGGTAGCAGCGCACCGGTGGAGTCACGCGCACACGAGACCGGTACCAGGCGCCCGCCTGCGGCCAGAGGCAGTGTCAGGATCGGGACCAGGCGCCCACCGCGGCCAGAGGCGGTGTCAGGACCCGCACCAGGCGCCCACCGCGGCCAGAGGCGGTATCAGGACTGGTACCAGGCGCCCGCCGCAGCCAGGGGCGGTACCGTGGCTGGTGCCAGGCACCTGCCGCAGTCAGGGGCAGTGTCAGGACCGGTACCAGGCGCGTGTCTGCGATCAGAGGCGGTGTCAGGACCGGTACCAGGCGCGTGTCTGCGATCAGAGGCGGTGTCAGGACCGGTACCAGGCGCGTGTCTGCGATCAGAGGCGGTGTCAGGACCGGTACCAGGCGGTGTCAGGACCGGTACCAGGCGCTCACCGCGGCCAGAGGCCGTGTCAGGAACGGTACGAGGCGTTGTCCCAAACCGTGTCGGGCTACTGGGGATCGCTTTTGGAAAAAGATGCCTGAGGACATCTTTTCCAGGGATCATCTTGACGGAACGCAAATGCAGGACGATGCAAAACTGGGATCCCAGAATTCTCCAGTTTTGAGACGGATGGTGAAAGAATTGATTGTGACTTCCTTGCAGTGAGCTGGTGTTTAATTAATTGATATGCCAGAGCTAACCGTGATAACGCTACACAGAATAAACGGCATGTCAAGGTTGAATGAGCGACAGTTGTACGGTGATTGGAATAGTCATCGTATTGCGCCCTTACCGTTGAGAAGTCTAAGATATACGCGTAAGAGAAGACCGCTTGATTTTCTCTCCTGTGCAGAATCTCGCAACAGTCAGATATTGGCTCTAGTCTTGGGTACACCTGGAATACGCGTGCGAGTGATGGCTAATGGTGACGCATTATTCGGGATGCGCGGCAAAAGGCGAGTGCGATGTCTATATTTGTCTGTTGCTGACCTACAACCGCACGTATCTGCCAATTTGCCAGCAAACAGTAATAACCAGACGTAATTATGAGACGGTAGTTCTCATTCTGGCAAAGGTCAACTTTCAATATACCGTGAAGCACTAGACAAATGACCTTATCAGGGAAGCATTGGCAATATTGAGTGTCATCAAAAAAGGCAATGCTATCTAAATCATGACGTTAAGCCTGCACTTCTTGATATGCTGAAAATCGATTATTGTCAGAAAAAGAACTCACAGCTCACAATGCTGAAAACCAGGAGCTCAAAGTCTTTCTTACATACATAAAGTAGTGAATGTCTGACATTTGACGTCATATTATGATGTAAGTGTAATGGCCGAGTGGTTAGCGCATTGGACTGCCACTTCGGGGCCAAGGTTCAAATCCCGGTTGCGCCATGGCGCTTGAATCATATGCATGATATATAGATATACGGCCAAAGCAGTCTCTGACGTACCCTATCAGGACCGTGACCGCGTGCGTCTTGCCCCGTTCTAAGAACACATTTCACAGTGGGGCGGCACGCAGGCCACTCCAGGGACTGGTGGCCAGCGTCGTATGTGACGTAGCGGGTTGAACAACACTTGTTACGGGAAAAGTTCAGGCGTTCTTTGTCATGCATTCACCGCTGGTGAAACTAGAACGGATCTCGCTTGACAGAACAGGGTGTAAGGCACGCTTGGCGAAAAACAGCCTTGTAAGAACCCCAGCAACCTCTAAGTTGAACTCCATAAATACCTGCATAGGATTGGTGATAATGTCATCTTGAGATGCATCACTTATTTCAAGCCACTGCAAGCTGATTTTGGCAATGTACCTGAAACCAGCATTCACGAATAAATGAAATTGTGGTCTTAATGACCTAGCTGCGACTGCACCTAGTTCAGAAACCCCGAATTTTAACACTGATGCATCCAAACTCCGACAACAGCATTCTGGCCTCCATTCGTCGATCCCATCATGTTCTTCATATGCATCATTGTTGTTGTCCAACCTATAGTTTACCTTAATTTATAAATAACTTTACGTCTTCTTAGGATACAAACTGTAGCGATAGCAAATGCCCAATTGATTACCAGTACAAAGCTGCAGTAATATGGTAAGAATGCCAGGATGCTATGATCAAATCAAATGAATTTCATATAGCAGTTCATGAGGGATCCAAAGCGTACTGTACAGTTAGACAATCGGCTCAAGCACAAGCGATCTCTTGATGGGCGTACACATGTTTGTGCGAGTGTCTGTGCTCACTACACCGTACTCACGTCGGCAGCCAGGGTGGGAAGACGTGCTGAATGCTCTCGTAGTACGGTCTGGCAAATGTGGCGCGATACTTCGCCCTGGTTGGATCACTGATGTTGGACGGGAACTTCCGGGCGAAGAAGAAACGGCCAGAGAACTTCCACAAGTGGTCAATATCCCGCGGCGCAACAGTGGCGGGGCCCTGTGGGAGATGCACGAAGTTTCTCAGATGATCTGTGTCACCCTCCACGGCGAGGGAACCCACACGAGAGCTGTGAACTTCGTCAGGTCTCCGCGCCGTTCACCACGGTGGAAGGACTCTGAGAGAGACGAGGAAACTCTCTCAAATGGTCTGTGTCGCCCAGCATCACAGTGCGGGACTCTGAGAGAGGTGTGACTGTAACGACTTCTAGAACGGTTCGTGTCGCCCTCCGCCAGGACGCCAAGACTCACAGAGAGATGCGAGAGTGATAACGTTCTCAAGCGGTCCATGTCTTCCTTCGATGTAGTGGCAGAACGAAGAGAAGGGACTCTTCCAGGTGTTTCACATTTTTAAGTCGGTGGAGGGAGAGGACTGAGGTGATAAAGCTGACAAAATCTAACCCCAAACCTAATTTCTTTCTGGATTTCGGCCACTTGACTTTGCGTCCTCGATGTGAAAAGCCCACGCCAAGCCAATGTGGGCCTGGATTTTGTGGCAAGCTTAAAATGGAATATGATTTACGGAAAAAACACATTAGCGAGCTGACCGGTTGTAACTAACAAAATGGGTGTCGTATCTCTTTCGTCACTGGTGCCCGGAACGCAAAAAGGCGCGGACGTGAGTCTATGAACAAATTGTAATGTACACTGCCAGGATGACCTGTACGTAAGAGTGGGCCTGAACATGCACGACCTTCTCATTAGTCATGTCGGTGGCCGGGAGGACAGAGCAGGCCAAGGTTGCTGACAGGATCGGTCACCAGAGCGGCCAATGTTAACGAAATAGCTTCATCAACGCTTTAATATGTGTTGGAATTTGATAAAAACGAGGAAGATCTTGAGCCCTTCGTGCTTCGGCGTCATTGGCTGAGGGTTCACATGTTGAAATAGTCAACCCTCAGTTTACCTGGAGGTAGTGGCTACACGACGTTATCAAGACAGCACTGCATGCGTTGAAAAACTCGACGGCTGGCAGCAGTGTGATATGGTCAGCTTTCCCCGCAAAAATCGATCAACACCGCAGCCGAATATTTCATTCAACCCAGAGCGAACTGCACAGAATGTGTTGATCCCATTACTTGACATCATCCTACTTTTTTGTAATACAACACGGTGGAAGGTATGCCATGGAAACATACTTTAAACCGTCGCAGCCTCACTCGTACTTTACCGCCCCGCTGCCTCAGTTGGTCAGAGGCTTAGATTGTCTGTCTTCTGATTCATCCACCCGTAGTGGGTTGGGTTCGAGTCGCTTTAGGCGCTCGCTATTGACCCCCGACTGCGGTGGTCTGCGGCCGTCGGCAGCGGCCGCGGTGCCCCTCAGGTGAGGTCAGAGGGTGGGGTGGGCCATGCCAAGCATTGCGGCACTTCACGTTTTCGCCGCAAGCTCTGCCGTTCACCCGGAATCTTAAGATCGGATGGTGGGGCCATGACTGACGCAACCGACAGTGCTTAGCGTGGGCGCTTATCCAAGAAACACATCCGATGGAAATGCCTGAACTAAATCTTTAAGAAAACTCACCGTCGACCCGATCACAACACATCGTTATTCAGCACACCCCAAGGTATTCCAGGAAGCAGTCCTTCCATCACAAATGTGGAGAGTGGTGTGTACCGTCTGACCCCCAGCCGTGTGAGCGCAATCGTGCTAAAATCCTTCCTTTTCCGAGGAACGGATACCCGGGGCACTGGGCGAGGTGTCCTGATTGCGCCACACGGTTAATAATACGGCAAAATCAGATTTACGAGGGAGTCGAAGAAAGGGAAACAACAGACTGTGTCTATGTGAAGATACGGTGATATACGGCGGCCAATGCAAGAGTTAATTCAAGGTTGCTCGTCAGCAACAGGTGTATTTCCTCACAGTGAAGACTGCGGCGGCATTCGAATGACCTTTCACTGAGAAAATAACTGAAACACAATGGCCGTCATCAGTGATCTCACACTCGTGACATCGCGCCTCCACAGAAGATGATTCTTTGAGGACGGGAACGGGGGTCCTGTCAGCACCGCTCCAGAGCGCTGCGTCACAACCGCTCTGATACCCTTCTTAGCGGCCCTGAGCTGACCTCACGGGATCGATCGGAAGGGAAGAGACTTCAGCAGGATGGGGCGACACCGCACACAGCGCGGGCTTCGCTGGACTTGTCGGTCGAGCATTTTCGTGGAATGCACATCAGCTTAAGGCTGTCGTGCTGTGGCTTCTCACGCACCCACCCTTTCACCCTGGACCCTATGCTGTAATATCAAGGACCACGTCCACGTGGGCAAGCCAGGGAGCCTGCAAAAGCTCAAGGGCGCGTTCAGAGTTGCGGTGAAACTTGTCACCGTCGACAAGATCGCCCGGAGAGAGAGAGGGAGAGAG